ATAAGTGTTCTGTTTTTAGTTACTTTATTTTTATTTTTGTGGCTCTCAGAGAAATGTGGTTCACCTATTGTTTGTTACAGGCCCCGAGGAAATCAACTCCGATATTAACCGATAGATAAACTTTTAAATAAAGTTTTTCATTGGTATGAGAGTAATATAGGTTTATTCTAAGTAATATTAATTTTAAATGTAATTTTCTATTAATTCCGAACAATTATATACAAAATCGCATGCAAAATTTTAAAAAATTCAGCAACGAGTTGCTTAACTTTCTCGGCAACATTTAAAATTGCGTTTGGCGTCACCTATTATTATATTTTATTTTAAAAATTTTTATATTTTTTATTGTTATAAAATGGCAAAAGATTAATTTTGATGGAAGGAATGAGTTTTATAAATAATTGTAAATGCTAATAACAAGTAAAATCGTTACTAAATCCGACCCTACGCGACACACGAGAGACAACCCCTTTATCTCCCTATCACGTCGACTTTTAACTATCAAAATTTAGTAGCATCAATTCCACTAATACACAAATCTCCCTGCAAATTTCAAAAATTTTCGACAAAAAGCACAGGAGTTATTAAGCCGCAAAGAGGGTAGATAAACAAAATCATGCTTCCCATATATACATTAATTAACATCCATACATACAGAAAAAAAACCCGAATTTTTTTTTATTTCTCAACGTTTCAAGGTCCCCCGAGTCCCCTTTCCTCTGTTATATATGACAGAGTAGAGAAAGTAATAAAAACCAGCAATATTTTTAATTCAAAATTTATCACAGATTGGTATGAATAAATTAATTTTCTTGAAAACAACACGGAACTTTAGAATTTAATTTTAATTTTAAATCATTAACTAAAGTTTCTTTCAGTATTTACACTTGAAGTGCTTTTAAGATGCTCACTAAGTAAATTAAAGTCAGAGAAAAGTTTGGTAATCATTTAAGTAAGAACAAAAAAAAAAGTGAATCAGATATAATATTATAAGTATTGTTTGTCTATATCATCGGAAATAAGATATTACGAGCACAAGTATTAGAACCGTAATCCATTAGATGCACTTTCTACTCTTCCAAAGATTTGATTTTGTAGAAGAATAAGGTTAGATCGAGTACAAAAGCATTGCCTTTTTGTTAAGTCGTATTCAATTGAATTCTCTATAAGAGAAATGAAAAAAGATTTACAGTACAAAATTTCTTAAGATATTTTCTTTAAAATATTTTAATAAATTATTTTACAATATCAAAAATTCAGTTTTGATTTCTTAAATATTCTCTTAAATTATTTAAAAGTACCAAAACTTGTGTTGTATGTGTTACATGAAAATGGCCTTTACTAAGCTACTTTTTTATTCGAATATACTAGGAAATAATTTTTAGACTCAATTAATTTAATTTGTAAGAATGATTTATACAAGAATATTCTGCAAAATAAACATTTAATATTTCATAAATAATTAATTTTTTAATTAAAAATATAAAAATTAATACAACCAAAATAATATATTTTTTGAAATTTCTAAAAATTTTTTTCTATTTGTATGCAGACTGTTTAATAATATTTCTAAATATCAAAGATCTGTTATGGCTTAGTAAATATACATAAGTTATAAGAGATTTCTATTCTTTCTAAGTATTTGTTTAGCGAAGATATAACGAATATTGATAGGGATTCAATTTTGAAGAACACTTCTCGTACAGAATTACAAATAAATTATTCTGAATATGTCGCTTCATCTAAAAGCAATTCATGTTAGATATTAATTTTTGAAATTTATAATTTCTACAGTGGCAAATGGAATATTTCAATAACTTTATTATTGTTTATTTATTCATAAAAATAATATTTATTGTTATGATTTTTGCATTAGTTTTTATAAAATTATACTGTTGAGTAATGTTAATTTAATGAAGAAATGTTATTTATAATTCACAAATATGTTCTTATAAAGTCGTATATACGATTTAAAATGTTATTTTTAAAATGTTTACGATACTTTTTCGTTTAAGCTGTTGATTAATTATTGAATTAAGAAGTCAAAATTGTCATTTTATTGTACGTAGGTGCGTAAAAAATTTGAATTTTGTTTGTATTTGAGAGATGATATTGATTTATAGACGGTTAAAATTAATTTTGATGTTGTGCTAGTAAGTCATTTTATTAAAATTGTTGTCGTTCTTGCCGTATAAATCGATGTTTTATATAACAGTTATGGAGATTTATCAAAGATTTGAATTATTGATTAGTTATATATCATTTTAATCTATTAAAAAATTCAAAAATAGTCGTGAAAAATTTAAACAATTTAAAAATATAATTAATAATTATTTTATTATATTTTAAATAAACAATAGATTTTATTTTTCTTATCTAAAAAAAAGCGTTTAAAGAATCGAAGACAATGTTAAAAAATAGTGAAAATAATGTCTTCGTAAAATAATAATAATAAAGATGATTTTAAATAACAATTTTTTTAAAGATAAAAACGATTTTTCATTTATTAACGTCAAATATTTAAAGATATACTTGAAAAGTAAAATGTTTTAACGAGAAAATACCAAAATTTAGGAGGAATCGACCCATAGGGTGTCTCATTTTACATTATTAATGAACACTTCGCCTACTTAATTGACTCTTTGCTAAGTATTTTAATGTGTTAGGATCTTAAATTTTTATTTTATTCACAGATAACAGGAATATCTAAAAGAAATATTATTATTGATCTTTTAAAAAAGTTAAAAGTATGAAGATATAAAAGAATATCGATTTTTTTTTTTCATAAATAAATTACATAATATATCAAGAATTTTGTAGTTATAATTGAGTATAACATTTTCTGAGAATAATATAGATTTTTGCATTATATGAATCCTTTTTTTATGTGCATTAGAATATATTAAGCTATAAAAATGAAATTGAATCTACATTTATAAATCCGAAATGATAAGAAGAAAAATAGAAGCAGAAATAAACGAATTCAATCGAAAAGATGGTCTATATTTTGCAAATGTTTCTTTAGAAACTTTCAAGACATCAGTGATATCAATATTTACTCAAGAACTTCTCGATACAACTGTTAAACAAATAATTTTATGTCTGAAAGATATCTATTTGGGAGTTTTGAATTGCAGTTGATGTTTCGTAAAGAAAGCATTCATTTCTGCGAAATAAAATGCTTCAAAAATAAAGAAATATAATTTCAAACTTCCCAAGGCAATAAGCAAGAAAAAGAAAAAAATTGTAAGATGATGGCGGTATCCTACCAATCGAGGTAATTCCTCCACACGTCATGGAAACGCCATCATAATTTACCGTACAGCATTATCTAACAGTTTCAAAAAAGTAATGCAAATTCTTCGATATTTATTTAGGTCCCGGCCAAAACATTCGATAGTTGCTTATTGCGATTATCATTATTTGAAGCGACTACTGGTAAGGAAAAAATATCAGTCACAATCACTTTATGTTAAACTTTTCAGCCCAAGTTTTTGCAAATGGCATCTTGGAAAATTACATGTGGTAATCCCTATTAATGTGTCATTTACCCCAGTATAACATGGCTAAGAATTTTAAGATTTGACAACATAACATCCGAAGAAGTTTGATATTGTAACTATGTCAACTTATACATTAATAAACAGCTTCACGAAACAGTAGATTAAAACAAGAGACTACGTATCCCTATTTTTCTGACAGACAAAAATTACATGGTGTCGGTATCGACGCGTAATAATAAACACACTGAAAACACGTGGAAGAGCGGCCCGATGACTTCAATTGTACATTGTTTATACTTGTACTGTACATACTACGTACTGGCAATGTCACCAGATATCTGATGTTCATAGCTAACTACTTACCGAGGATTGCAATATTACATAGAGTGGCGCTGACAATACTGTACTTCCCCTATTATTCAATATCATTATATATGATATAAAATATATTATCGAATGTTATGTAGATAATATTTTTAATATTTATTAACTCTGGGCTGCAATTCCACCTCGCGATACTTTTCTCCATAGAGCGACATAGACAGATAATTAATATGCATTATGCAAATCGTAAAGAGTAATAATCGTGTTTATTCTTTTATGATTATCATCATAGGAAACAAAAGCTAGATTTAAGCGAGTATATTAAGATTTATCGCAGAATTTAAAGTTAATTAGCACTTTGGCATAGAAGAATTCGAGAGACAAGAAAATAAATGAAAGCGCGTAACCCGAAATAAGCAATAACAATGGGCTTATAAGATCATCCATCGATAGACCTTGAAATTCCGGGAACTCTATCAATTTTCCTTTCGTGGCATAATCGATTTTCTCAACAATTCCCGCTTCGAACAAACGAGTTACTCTGTAAAAATCACAATTATTAATTATACCAATAATTTTTTCTTAAAGAAATTTCTATAAAAATTCCTTACACTTTGCTTACGTCCTTTTTGAAAGGGAAATTTTTTCTCATCGTGTAAGCCTGGACAAATGTGATCAAAGAATCTTGAGAAACCAGGAATTTATTTCGATCTTCCTCCTTGACAAACTGTCTTAAACCATCGCTATTGCATACGAAAGCGAATTGTCCTTTAAGAACTTCTTCCGTCCATTCGGACATGGACAAAAAATTACCATTGTCGATGATGTTATTTCTGATTATTTTTATATTTTCAGATCTCGAATTCTTAAAATAGAATAATTGAATTAATAAAAGAAAACATTTAAATAACAAAAAAAGCGTAAGTGCCACTTACCACAATGGCACTCCATATAGCTTCTCCACCCGTAGCGCCGCAACTATATTCACCCCTGGTAACTGCAGCANACCGTTACACGGTGCTTTCTTTCAATTGTCGGCCATCCATTTCGTCATCTCATCCATCCTAAGTGAATTTTTTTCTTTTTCATTCAGATATTTGATGTTCGCTGGTATCATTATCTCAGAATTAGTGGCTTTATAATTAGAAAATGTAATTACTTGTATATACTTTGCCGAATTATGAAATTAATATTATAAATTAATTTAAATTAATAGTCACTTTATTACTTATTCAAGATATACTGGAACAATCGCTGAAATTTATAGTAAATTGGAGATAATATATGATACTAACGTGTTCCGACGGATGCTCAGATTATTATAACAAGATAATAAACTTCTTTCATGCTTATAATTTTTTAAAAATTAAATAAAAATATTTAATTAATGGCTTATTTTTTATATTAATTTAAAAAAAAACAACGAAGATCGCAACGAATAGATCAATATATAACCTAAAAAAACATTTTGAAATTTTTTCTAACATATATTTTAATGAAAGTTTTTAAAATTTAACAAACAGTTTAATATAAAAGAATTAATTAAAAATCTTTTGCATTTTTTAAAATGAAAAATGAATTCGACAGAATTTTAGTAAAATTGAACGTATAAATTATAAAGATTACATTTATAACTTATTATTATTTTCAAATAACTTACATTATAGCGTGATATAAACCAATATGTCTATTAAAGACATGTCAAAACATCATTATGATTAACTAAACTTAATTGTTCCAAAGCCTATTATAATTTTAATTTAAATAATTTGTTTATCTTAAATATCTAGTTGGAAATATTTAAGTTAAAAATGTTAATTAATTATAAAATATTTAATAATAGCATATTCAATTAACATAATAAAAACAAAAACTACAATCCATTTTATTATTTTTTGTAATTGTAACAAATTTCTATTAAAAAGAATTCACTTCAAAGTAAACAAAAACTTAAATTTATGACTGTAATTTATCGCTTAAAAATTTCTTGTTACGCTTTCTGAATAAGAAAAATAACGAAATAACAAGTTAAAATTTAGTTACGTTTTATAAAATTTCTAAGGGATAAAATTAAGATGGAAGAATGCAATAAATAAACTATGTACGAATATTTGATCGAATAATCGAATGGCCAAGTTTTTCACGGTTGTTAACAACTTGATAAAGTGCATATGGTTTGTTAGTTGTTGCTTGACTTCGTTTGTAGCCAATTCAATGAAACAAAAATCGATAAACTTACATTCAGAGCTATTAGTCAAATGGAAAAAGTTTCATTGTTCAGTGTTAATACATGTATTCAGAAAATTAAACAATTGCTATTTATAAAAACCTTTTAAACATTACTTAAAACTTATTATTATTTTTTTTTAAATCTTGTTTGAATAATTTGAAATTCATTTATATTCATATATTATAATAAAGCTGTTTTAAAATCTTTACAATGCATAACATTTATTATTTTTTTAATGAATAGTATAAAAATTTGAATTTTTAGCAGTGATTTATTATCATATTTTATTTTCATTTTTATAATATCATTATATTAAAATATTTTCATTATAATATTTTCTGTAGTAGAAAAGAATATATCACAATATGTATAAATTATAACGAAAAAAAAGGTAATATTAACTGTCAAGAACAAGAGAATCAATAACAGCACTTTTCTCTTTTACTGTCTGTTTTCTTACGAAATTCCACTGGGTCCAGTAAGTTTTCATCTTAAAGTAAGTAGAGAAACAGATGATCATTTTGGCCTGTATTGATTTACCCTTTCAAATTACCAGAGATTTATTTCTTTAAATTGCCTCATTTAAATTCTTTTAATTAAATACTTCTGAACCAATACAGTAAAATTTGATTTCTTTTGAAATGTTTTAATTAGTATTTGCATAACTTAAATAAATCGCTTTTATAGTGTCTTACGTGCATTAGTTTCTAAATATAAAAGTTACTTCATTCATTTCCTTGAGTTATATTATAATTGGTATTCTTAATGGTGAATTCTTTCTAATAATGTTTACTATAAAAATTTATCACAAAAAAAATGTTATTTTTCTTTTGAACATATACAATAGTTTTCCAGGTTTTAGACTAGACCCGGATAAAATAAGTGATAAATTGCTTGCTGGCAACTTTTTCTGAAATATTTCTTTATTCTGAGAAAATAATGTCAACATTACTTATACTGGTGTCAAGTTCTGAGTTCAAGTAAATACACAAGCAAATGTGTTGCCCCATTTTGAAAATGCTACTAGTTATTAATCATATTCCATTCAAATATCATTGAATCTTCTCATTAAAATTATAGATAAATATGTGTGATCTTTAAATAACTAGGTTATTAAAATTATAATAATAAATTCTTAATGATAGAAAGTTACCACAGAGTCGTATATTCTACAGTAATTAATAATATCATAAAATTTAATTTTTATCTATTATGTTATATTTTTAAATGAATTAATAAACATCATTCTGATAGAACTAATCCAATTAATGATACTATGTTAGTAGATTGAATATCTAATAATTTCCAACATTATAATGATATTTTTATTCGGCAGTCTTGATGATATATCATAATTCTATGTCAATCTCATTATAATTGTTATTATGAAATAATTCGTTTTATTTATCTTAAGTTTACAAAGTAATGTCTGATGACAAGAACGAATATCTTACAACTAACAAAGACCCATAAATAAATTCCAACAATAATTAGAAGAGAAAAAATATATAGCTGAAAATAATGATACTTAGTTTCATACGTATAATGCATTTTTGTCTGATAGCATCGTTTTCCATTGTTCTCGAATAGTAAGAGCCGATTCAGTTCTCCGTGAAGATAGGCGTGGTCCACTCCAAACGAGAATCGAATTTGGACATTCGAACATTACGCTGCCAATCAAGAATGATGCAAGTAGACTGTTAAATTACTGAAATCATTTTATTTTTGTTGAAAAAATATTCTTAAATCAATATTTGAAACAAATTGTTAAAATTTAATGTTCTTATTCTAATGACGTTGGTAATCTAAAGCTGTATGTGACAACAGTAATAACCGGTAAAAAACAATGAAATGTACTGTACAGTACAATAAACATGAAGAGTAGTTAAACTATGAGCTCTCATTTTAATAAATTTTCAATTTTTTAATATTTTAAATTAATATATATCAATTTATTACAAACTTTTACAGGTTTTTTTTTTTGCTATAAAAATATATATAAATTTTGTTTTATGTCGCGAAGAATTATTTATATTGATTTTGACGTCGTCTCATTCCTTCAGCAGTTATGAAAAAAAAAAATCAACCTGAATTATGATGGCTGATTATCTCCATAAAATGTTTTCGAGAAGTTTATGATCTGGTCATTGTTAACAGTTTTTACATTTAAGATCACTCATTGTGTAGTGTTAAATTATTTCTTAGCAGAAATAATCTTTATTACTTGTATACACACGATTATGATGCAAAGTAATACTATCTACTAAAAGTTTCTTAATTAAACATATAAAGTTTGACAATAAATGTTTTTAACGTTTTAACTAGCACAGATTTATTCATCTTAATTATTATTATTATTATTTACACTCATAAAATTATTTTAAAAATATTTTCTTCAGATTTATTTAATAACGAAAGAAGAGTTAGATTTATCAAAATTTAAATTTGACGAATAAGTTAAAAGCTTTGCATATTTTTGTAAGTTTTTTTTTACTTTAAAAGGCGGAATTTCTTTGAATAAATCTTAAAACTTTTTTTCTGTGTACAGTATATAGAAAAAATATGTTATATCACATATATACTTTACTTATACAATAAATGCAATTAGTTAAGAATTCTAAATTGATGTTTTAGAGATTTTTAAAAATATTATTTAGAAGCTAATTTAATTAAATTAAGTAAATATTTATTAAATTTTCAAAATTTAATTTTAAAAAGAAAGCCAGCTATTGATAAATCTTTGAATTATCTGAAAATTTACATATATTTGTAAAAATTTGAAAGACTTATGAAAGATATAAAAGTTTATTTTAGTACCTGATTTCATATGATACATAAAATTTTATCATTTACAATTTGTTTTCTTTAGTCAGATTACAGTAAGCTATTGTTTTTTAAAAAGCGAAGTAAATATACTATTGAGAACGTTGAAATATTAAATTAAACACTAGAATTTAATAATAATTAAGTTGTATTCTTAGCCAAAAACTCATTTTAATCAATTATTTTTTTGTTTTATCTCTATATCTCTATTATGGAAATGAGATTTGAAAAGGAAATGCATATATCTTCTATGGAACTGTATATCATAATTGAGTTCATAACAAAACTAATCAAAAACTCTAATAGAATTTAAAACAGTATTTTAAATCCTAAATTGATTTAGCTTTTAAGATTTAAAGGTTAAAAGAGAATATTTAAATTTTTTATTTTAAATCTTTCTTCCCGGTGGAAACTAATAAGAGGAATTTCATACTCATTGTAGTAGCTGAACTCAAACTAGTGTAGTCGGGTAGCGAGAAATAGGATCGATATATTCTTATCAATCCACCCACGAAAATTCCTGACTTGCCTCACCTTGAGCCTGGATCCTTTAGAGTGATAAGCTGGTTCTTTCTCCATCTTAAAGATATAAGTAGGCGAATAAAAATATATTAAATCTTAAGTAGTTTTTAAAGATAGATTAAATAGAAAATATACGATTTAATTCATTAATTATATATTGCACAATGAAAAATATTGTGAATAATTAATGTTAGAGAAAAATTATATCTTAGGATAATTTGTTTATTTGAAACTTTACTTTAGAATTTTTTTTCGTAGTAATTACATTCTGGTATATGATTTCATCTTGACCTTTTATCCGCTATTATTTTTATTTTCTCATCTTAATATTTAATGGAAAGCATTTTTTTTCATTGGAAAATATTTCTGTTTATTTATTTGATTGCTGCATTATTTTAAAATTTAGTTTTATTTTTCTACTTTTATTTCCAAAAGTGTAAACTTTTATTTCATAACACATCATTGTATTTCTCCATTTAAAAAATTCTAGTTAAAATAAATGAATAATAAAAATAATTTATAAAAAATAGTTTTAAAAAATATATAGAATTTACAACATTAT